AACTTGCAATCCTATCAACTCAGGAGGCTGAGGATCAGGTTTGAAGAAAGCCCGGCAGGAGTCTCTATGTGTCTCTCCTGAGCAATTAGCAAACTCAAAATTGGAAGTGGACCTATTGCTCAACTGGTAGAGGATTATCCTTGGCCTGAAGAACCAATCTCAGAGATATAGTGCAATGACCAAAAAACTGGAAAAATAGACACAAAAGTAAAGTAATGTTCATCAACAATGCCCAATACTCACTGGTATACTTAGGTTAGAAAAAGTGTCTCAATTATTTCTGCCCACATAACAGCCTTTAAGCTGTTATTCACTCCCTATTTGGGACATCTTGTATTTTTTTCTTTGAAATCTACAGAGTAATTTGATATGTGATATTTCTCTAATTCCAACAGTTGGTACATCCCTTAATATAACCCCATGGTAATACTACTCCTGTTTCCATTTGCTAATATGTCTTACTTATGGAATCTTAGTATTCTGACTTCTAAGAAGAGGATGGTACTAGAGAACCTGTGAACTGATTAGATAACTTGTGACCATTTAGGAGATCATGCTATTATTTCCTGACTTGTCTCCTATAGTTTCCTAAGATTTTGCAAGCCCCATCTTTATCATTATACATATGTGAGCAGTTTTGTATGTCTGATCATCTATTTCTGTTATCTGTCCATTTTTAGACACAATACTTTTGTGTGTGTGTGTGTGTGTGTGTGTGTGCGAACAAACTGAAATTATGTTACAATTTTCCCTACTCTGTTTGAATGTCAAGACAGTGCATCAGGGCACATTACTATGTTTTTCAATTTTAAAATGGGGTGATTTTTTGCCTTCCTTATATTCTTGATTTTATTCAATTTTGATAAATTTTGATCACAAGTTGTTCGGGACTTTATTTCTTAGATTTCTTTCTTGGTCAGGAGGATTGAAACCATGATTGTACCATTCATATCTGAGACTCTTACACTGGGCTCGATCCCAGCCATGTATTTCCAATGTTGATGAGCCTCTTGAATAGAATTCTCCAAGACATATATATGTGTGAAAATAGTAATAGCAAAGACATGCTACCTAAATTAATGGTAAGCTTTTCAATATTCCTAGCAGAATCCAATAGTTCAATGTTTATACTGAGAATGACAAGTATGTCTCTTGAATGTTAATTTTATTTCCTGATTGCTGAACATATTGACTAGGTATCACTTCATAATGTGATTGTCACTTCATTATGGCATTGTTTTTTTCCACACTTAAGAATGGATAAGCAGTTTGTTTGATGGAGCTTATGTACATAAAGGGCCATGGCACATTCCTCTTAATTGTACCTATCCCTTCAAGTTTTTTTACACATTACATTATGCATATATGTATACTTCAGTAGGACACCTCCCGTGACATATTCAATCATTGTGCCTTGTTTTCATGCATCCTTTCAGAAACTGAAAGGAGATCAAAATTATCATGCAGTTTTAAGTTCATAAGAATTAAATCCATTATAGTTTTTCTTTCTAGGTAATCATGTGAAAAATATCCTTCTATTTTCCTGATACATATATGTCCATGAATATTGTGTAAAACACTCAGGGTTGAAGAACTGGCCATAATCCTTAAATTAATAGAGTGACTAGGGTAACATTACAAATGTTCAATGAATTTGGACAGTGGTGAGACAGTGTCCAAGCATAATTTGTGAGAAGGTATGAAGACAATCAACAAGGTTCAATGGAGGAGGAAGTCACAGCAGGAAGGGAATTTCTTCAAAATAACTTTCAATTATTAATTTTTGTATATCTCTTGTAAAATCAGTAAAGTTTATTTTTGATCATAGTTAGAATTCAGAGATATGGGTCCAGATCTCTTCCACAAAAATAATATAATATTTTTTCTCTTATTTCTTTACAAGAAGCATTCAGGAAAAAAATGACATCATTTAATTGGTAAGGAAATGAAAAGACTTTGAAGAAATCATGTGAAATAAATTGGGCCAAACAAACAGAGACTCCATGTTTTCCCTTATTTGTAAAACCGTACTATATATATATATAGCTTTGGTGAATAATAGTATGATAATACTATTATACCACTATATATATATGTATGTGTACATACACATATATATATTTATCTAGATACAGATATAGATATAGATATATCTTAACTATGGTGAATAATACTATGATAAAATATTACTATGATAATAATACTATGATAAATATATTTACCGCCCAAAGTAATAAATGTTGGCTGATATTTTATGTATACATGAAACAATTTATTTTTTGCCATGCCACAGGCGTTACAAAGAAGTCACAGAACCCTTCTGCAGATTAGATAACACATGAGAAATATTGAGATACTTTAGCACCTTCTATCTTGAAAAAGAAATTGCAAAAATATTTGATTTACAAAACCCATAAAATTTTCCTACCTATTCTTCCATTTGGAACACAGGAGTGGATAAGAAATTTATATGAGGGATCAAATATCACTCATTTGTCTCATATTTCATTATGTTCTGCAGCAATAATGAAAAGGAACATATTATTCCCAGGCAAAAGTACCTTTTTTGATGGGTCCACTTAGAACATAGGAAATAGTCCTTTCCTCAGTTTTATTTTTTCAAGGAACAACCTGGGCATGGTAATTAATGTGCAATTGGTATTTTCAGAAGACAGAGATTTTCATGGTCTGTGAAGACTGAGTGTCTTAAAGGGACAGAATGATGTATGCTCCGACCTCAGGATTATCTGAGAACTGTGCTTGTGTATGTGGAAAGTTCTTGGCATGTCGGGCTAGAAAGGGAACATGTTCTCTCTCCCTATCTCAAAGCACATGTCACAGACTCCTGGGAGCTGAGGAAGTAGCTTTTCTGTTTACTTAACCATAGACGATACTTAAGCATAGACGAACAGCTAGTTAAGCATTTTCCTGAGTATGGGAAAGTGGTATGAGCTTGTTCTAAAATAGTTTAGGTAAAAATATATTTGTCATTATTGATATAATTACCAAAGACACTATTCCCACCGCTCTTACCGTTTTTACAGATGGCTTCAAAACAAAGAGTGCTTATTGGACGACAAATAAATATCGGGTACAAACAACTACTTTAACATCAGTTCAACAAAATAAACTTTTTGCTATTATTAAGATGTTATGAAATTTTGTGAGAGATATTAATATTGTTACTGATTCTGCCTATCCTATAGAAGTTGTGACTAATATAGTCACTGCTGTTACATATTCATCTAAACCCCAGCTAAACCAATTATTTAAACAATTACAAGCATTACTACAACAACTTAATGCCAAAGTGTTTGTAATTCATATTAGGGCTCACTCTTCGTTACCTGGATACCATGTGTATGACAATAATGAGGATGATAAATTAGTTAGTTTTGCTTCTGCTAAACAGGATCATGCTCATTTAGATATAAAAGCTGGCCATTTACATATACTTTATAAAATACCTTATTTCCAAGCTAAAGAAATTATTTTTTAAAAGTCCTATTTATAGAATAAGACATCTGAAAATTGTACTTGCTGGAGAAATTCCTCAAGGATTACAACCTAACGAGCTTTAACAAATAGATATAACCCATATACAAGCCTTTGGCCGTTTTTCCTTTGTACATGTCACAATAGATATTTATACCAAATTTGTCTGGGCTCCTGCCCTTACAAAAAAAACTGTTAACCATATAATAAAACACTTATTAAAAGCTTTTGCCATTATGGGAGTACCTGCCAAAATAAAGACTGATAATGGACCTGCCAATAAAAGTACCAATTTAAAACAATTGTAAATTTATGATTGGTACATATTACAAAAATAAAATATAACCCACAAGGACAAACCATTATTAAACATGTTCATGGCACACTAAAACAACAAATTAAAAAATTAAAAAGGAGGAAAAGGTTGGACGAAGGTATGGATATTTTGTGGTTTTCCATGAAATCCTAAAATAAATTTATATCAGTCTCTTTTTGTTCTTAATTTTTTAAACTTACCACATGGAGATATTTTAACTAGAGCTGAGCACCATTTTGAACAAATATCAGAAAAATGTTAGTTAAATGCTCCCGTATGGATTAAGATTGCATTGGACGCAGAATGGCAACAAGAAACATTATTACATAAGGGGCGAGGATATGGTTTTATGTCTATACAGGATGGCAAACAATACTGGCTTCCTGCCCGATGGATACAGATGAGGCCCAGTGAGGACAGCCCAGTATCCTGCAAGGAATCAGCCACCAGTTGAGAAAGAAGAAATCTCTGTGCAGGCCATGGCTTACTTGGCTTTGGGACGATGTCACAATCAGCGTCAGTGGCTGCCCCGCTCTCCACCTGGGGGCAGGTTAAAAAGTTGAATGGAGAAGTTCAAAAGATGTTACAACGCACTGGTAAATCTGTCACAGCTGAGAACTTATTCTGGCCCTTGTGTGCCCTGCCTGCCCATGCCAATGTTAGTTATTGGGCCTTTGTTCCTAACCCTCCTTAATCAGAACCTGTTGTTTGGGAAGACATGCATATAACCATCTATACCATTCCTGCCATTTTATCTCCTCCTTGGAATAATTTGACAATTAACAATAAGGATGATGGTAGCTTTTTAAATTTTACTTACTATTCTCATCTCTTGTCTGTTTGTCTGGGGCCTCCTCCATGTTTAATTATGAATTGGCAACATTGGGTCTTACCTGGAAAAGGCACGTCCAATTCTAGAACAGAGCTGCAGCGATTAATTACTTGTTCCATTAATAGTAGCTGGGAGAGCTGTCACCTTTGATGGCGAGTTATCCTTACCTATGTGCCCTGATTTTACTTATATTGATTTTGTGTGACAAGAGAGTATAGGAACATTTGGAAAAATGATCAATAATTTTATTAATTGGGGACCTTTTGGACTGTTTATTAACACATGTTCAGAATGGAATATTACCAGATGTGATTTAACTGTTACTAGGATGCCATATACCATTAATGGATCGCTTACCCGAGCTCGATTGATGGCCTGGGGAGATTGAGGCATTGCATCTGCTCGATGGGCTTTCATGACTGCGCTCACTGCTGTTCAGACTCATCTTTGGAAGGTTGCAGTGGCACTGAAATCAGTGATGCTATCAAATGGATCGTTTTTGGGAACGGCGAACTCTGTATCCTTTATTTTGTTGAACTGATGTTAAAGTAGTTGTTTGTACCCAATATTTATTTGTCGTTAAATAAGCACTCTTTGTTTTGGAGCCATCTGTAAAAACGGTAAGAGCGGTGGGAGTAGTGTCTTTGGTAATTATATCATTAATGACAAATATATTTTTACCTAAAATATTTTAGAACAAGATCAAGTAACTGCTTGTGTACCTTTGCGTTATGTATTTTTAGTAAGAAATTTTACATTTTCTCCTACTATTTCTTGTTTTGTCGCCTGTATTCTTGCATTAATTCCTCTTGTTTTTAATGACAGCGATAGAATTATGATTTTACAACAATTGGTCTTCCTGTTAAATTAGGAAGAGAAGAGTCCCAAAATCCCCTGGATTATGTTGTTATTGAATTTTTTACCAAAGTACTAAAACATACAAAGCATATAATTGGAGCCATTGTAGCTGTGATTTTAAGCTTTATTGCTATTACCACTGTTGCTACCGGAATTGCCCTTCATACATCCTTACAAACTAAGCATTCTGTAGAAGAATGACACTGGGAATCATATAAATTGTTGGTCTTACAGATAGAAATTAATGCTTGGTTACAAACACAGATTAATGTTCCTAGATGGTGGGATGGTTAGGGAAAATGTTATTGGTTGTGGAAAAACAGTTAATAAAATGTGATTGGAATTCTACTATCTTTTGCATTACTCATGTAAAATATAATAAACCTATAAATGATTGGAATGTAATACAGCAGTATTTATCTGGAAATTCTACTGCTGCTAGATTAATTGCTCAGTTACAATTTAATATACATGATATTTTGGTAAACAATTTGCAAACAATTTGCTGATGCATTTATTAAACAGTTGGAAGGGTTGGATCTGAAAGGAATACCACAAAGTATTTCACATTCTGCTAGTGGAATGGGAATATGGTTGTTATTGTTTGTACTTGTACTGCTATATTTGATTTTTATGAAACCAATAAAGCTTCTATGATGACACTTCTATGATGACCCTTTTAAAACAAAAGATAAAAGAAGGAAATTGTGAAGACTTAGGTTCTGTGTTGGAAGGGCAGAATGATGCAGGCTCCAGCCTCAGGATTATCTGAGGACTGTGTTTGTGTATGTGGAAAGCTCTTGGCATGCAGAGCTAGAGAGGGAACATGTTCTCTCTCCCTATCTCAAAGCACATGTCACAGACTCCTGGGAGCTGAGGAAGTACCTCTTTTGCTTACTTATGCATAGACGAACAGCTAGTCAAGCATTTTCCTGAGTACAGGGAAGTGGTTTGAGGTTGCTCTAAAATAGTTTAGGTAAAAAAATACAAAGACATTGTATCATAGGTTAAATAAAATTGTATCTGTTAACATTTTTTGTGGGAATGTCTCCTGACTAAATCTTGGCAAAGATAATACTTGCTTGTCTTTAAATACCCACTAACAATAAAGCATAGCATTCAGTGGCAATTGCTCTCAGAGTGCAATTGTTTGCACTCTGCATCCCCTGTGTCCTGGTGATTTTGCAACCCTTACCCAGGGAACCCAATGCCTTAGACATGGATAATGGTCTATCTTGGAGTCTCAATATTCACAAAGATTTCTTTGTGCTATAGTAAGTATCTGTTGTCAGTAAGTCATTCATGGAAGACTCGATAATATATAGCAAACTGGTAATTATCTAGGCATATGTAGGCAAAGGATATTGATCTTATACATTCTCATTCATATGGAAACAAATTTGTGATATGTCTGTGGAAATTTTTGAAGGAAAATTTTGAGTTGATTGATTTTGAACTCTAACTTGGCATAAGTATATAATACCGTCAAGAGATGGCTTCTGATCATAATGCAACTGTTAAATAAATGCATCAGCAAATTGTTTGCAAATTGTTTACCAAAAATATTATGTACATTAAATTGTAACTGAGCAATTAATCTAGCAGCAGTAGAATTTCCAGATAAATACTGCTGTATTACATTCCAATGCATTTATGCCTAACACAAGGTTTGTAGATTTTCAATTTTACAGAGAAATATTTTGAATGCTTTGTTCTTGCTATTTTTATTCATAACATGCCTGTCATAGGGTTTGTATTCTGGGTTTGGAGGCTGTCCCTTTCCTCTTCAGAAGGTCAATACCTGAGCTCTGACAGTTGATTCACAGGGTCACTTTCGGTTATTTGGTTTTAGGGGGTCATTTGGACATAAGGGTCCCATGGAGTTTCCTGCTCAAGCTTGCTTTGAATCATAATCCTCAGATCTCAGCCTCCTGAGTAGCTAGAATTGTAAGCCAGAGCCACCAGCACTTGGCTTTTCTTACTTTGAGAATATAGTACCAACTAGTAAATTTAAAATCATGCTGAAGTATTTAAACAACACTGAAGTAATTTTGCAACATTTCCAAAGAGAAGATTTGCATGGAAGTTTTTTTCCAACTTTCATGCTGCTTCCAGCTAAAGAGCAAACCCAGATATCAGTTAGGAAGGGAAATGAAAAATTTCAGAAACCTATTGAGCAAAAATCATGTAGGAAATTCTTTTGGATTGAACTGGATTCACTCATGGAAGTAAGATTTTTTTTAAGCCATTGATTTTCTTTTTTAATGATTGCATTAAAAGAATAGATTAATCTCTAAAAGTATGGTATCATTTGCCTCTTTTTATAAGGCTGGATACAGCTTCTACTGTATACAGTTTCCTATGAACACAGTAAAATATTTCTCAACTAATATTCTGTTTTTGAAGATAATTATTTGTAAGCATTTAGTTTTACTCATGGCGGCTGGACAAAACTTACTATTTCACAAGTTTTACTATCTGTCACTATCTCCACATTCATCCTTCAAATCTTCCTTAAGAAACTCTGAAGTAATGCCTGATGTTATGATAAGATTTGGATAAAGGACATGATAGTGCTAAGGCTTCTTCATATGAGTACATGTCTTCAATAGGCAGTTGTGAATTTTGAGAGGTCATTTGAGGAAGGCTCTTCTACTGCCCTAGAATCACCCTGATTGAAACCTAATCTATAATGTCCAAATTTATGCTTTCTACTCATATGAACACTGGTATCAAAAAGAATGAATATGCACATGAAACTAGTGTACTAATCGAACCTAGATGGTGGGTAGGCAAGGGCAAATAGATATAAGCAGTAGGACATTTTTATATGTGTGTTAAAACGGGTAAGAATTCTCCCCAGAGTTCAATTCTACTGAACCACAGCACAATTCTCACGAAGTCTAAAAGGGAAAAGTTAGGACATGCTGTTGTACCTTCGCTTTTGAAATTTGTTCTTTCTGGGAACCATAATGTGAGGTGGTGTTCAATAAACTGAGTAATGTTGTGTTGGGTCTTAGTCCATCCCACGAAAGACGGACAGGGTCGAGGAAAGGTAAGTGCGGCGCTCGCCTGTTCCCCTCAGCACCAGAGACAATCAGACACAGTGTGGAGCCAAATCCAGCAGGAAGAAAACTCATTTATAAACAGAGAGCAGCACTTTTTAAAACAAAAAGGGGCAAGTGACATGGGAGGGGGGAAGTCACTGTCAAGGTCACACCCTATCATACAACTAAGCTTTCACTGGCTGGTTATGCACTGAACGTAAGGCAAATTGGGTTCTGCCTACTATACTCTCTGTCAGAGCCATCTTTGCTGCCCATGTGCTCTACAGTAAATTGGACTCTGCCCATTCAACTCCCTCTTAGCACCAGCTTTGCTGCCTGTGTTCCCCACAGATTTCCCCTTTCTTGTTGTTTTAATGGCAGACCCACCTCCCAGTTAGTTATCCTTTTTTCTCTTCTGTAAAGGTTGTGTTAACAGGATTACATTGGTAAGAATAGCATTGGCTACGCAGGGGATTTGAGACAGTCTGGGGGTCGAGATTCGCCAGACAAGGATAGGGAGGGCCCTTGTGCATGATCCAAGAGCCCATCACAGTTACCTCACATCCCCACCTAGCACAGTAATAAGCATCAGTCCCACCACAGTTAGAAATGTTCAAAGCAGTTCAATTAATTCTGGTGTCTTTTAAGTAAGCCAGTTCCTTGTACATGCCTTTAAGCTAGCACAGGGGTCAAAATGACTTTTGAGCTTTACTGTCAGCTCCCAATGGCTTCCAATATCATCTCCCCCATCTTTGTTTAAAGAAGCGAACCCACCTGTCTTAGGTTGGGTGGATTGCCTTGTCTGCCTTACCCGTCATCAGGAACTTCTTCAGAGTGAAGCTGAAGGCCCTGTCTTAGGTTGGTCAGACTGATACCCCTCCCCCCTATTACGCGTCTCTGGCTGTGATTCCTCTTGGGGGGAAAGTCATTCATTTGGAGCTTGATCTTATGTAACTGTCTGGCTAAGCTCATAACAGTTTTGCAGTGCACATATAATGTAAGGAAGGCATAGAAAAAACCATCAGCAAAAGCATTACCAGGCCAAGAAAAGTTATTAGCAGTCCTTTAACATTAGTGAAGGATGGGATAGCAGTCTTTGCCACTTCAGACTCCAGAGGTGGGGCTTGTTCTAATCCAGCTTTTTGCCTGTGGGGTTGGAAAAGATCTAAGCACAACAAAAGGTGGTTGTTTAAAAATAAGTATGGATTCAATCTGCTATATAAGCAATTAGTAAAAGAACAATTAAAGCAGGTAACATTAAAATAATTAACTTCTACCAAAATATTAAACAGTCCAAAGGGTGATGATCAAAATGAATGTCAGGCCACCAGATAGAAGAGACAGCTTCTCTTGTGGTGCTATTGATGATTTCTGCATTGCCAGCACTGATCACTGCCCAGGTCACCCGTTGAGGTTGATGCAGATTCCATAGGGCCATTGCCAGGAGTGGGAGGGTCAGGACATCCAACAGCTGGAGTATCACCATCTGCAATTATAAGAGAACACAAGAGC